ACAGCTAACATTTTCATAACACTAAATTTTTTTCTCTGAAAGCAGTGCATAAATTTCTGTTTATTGAGATATTTCAATATTTTAAATTGTTCTACATTACAGATTCATCTGTCACTGTTAAATGTATCCCCAGGTGCTTAGTTTTTCTTTTGATACTAATGTGAATAGTTTTAGTTTAAATTTATTCTCTTTTGTGTTGTGAGTGTGAAAAGAAGTTGATTTTTTTTTTCAGAAAGCCTACCCTATAATGATTTTTCTTTTGATATTTGTTGACATTTGATTTAAACCTGCCACTGGGTCAATTTAAGTTGTTCCTCTCAAGTGAATTCATGTGAATTTCATGGTTGTAAGTTATGTATAGTAGGTCAAGCTTATTGGTTGTGCTGTTTAAATCTACCTTGCCTATACTAAATTTTTGTGAGCTTGTTATAGAAGTTACTGAAACAAGTTTGTTAAATTCTCCCACTATAAAAATGGATTTGCTAATTTTGTCCTTTAGTGGTGGATTATGTGGCTTAATATATTTTGAAGCTGCATTATTAAGTGCAACAAATTCAGAATTGTAATGCCCTAGCAAGATTGCCTCTTATTTTAATGAAATATCCCTTATAAGTCCCTTATATTTTGGCTTTAATATCTAATTTTTGACACACCCACACACATATACACCTTACACTGCCACTTTTAAAAACTAATTTTCCATGACGCTTTTTTTTTTTTTTTTGCTTTTACTTCAGAGTTTTTGTATTACTAAGTTTTTGGTACGTCTCTTTTAATCAACACAGAACTGAACTTAGTTTTTGTCAATTGTTGTAGCCTGAAACACTTTATTTTTGACTGTTCAGAGCAGTCAGATATTATGGTTGTACTTTGAGTTTTAAAGTTACCCTTTTACTCTTTGTTTTCGACTTGTTGACCCTTTGTATATAACATTTTCTCTACTTTTTATCATATTTTTTTGATTTTTTTGTTATATTTTTGGATTTTTTGGATCTCTTCACTTCTTTCTTTCTTTTTTTCTGTTTGCTCTTGCTCTTTATTTGTTATTTTGTTATACTTTCAATTCTTTCTAGTCTTTCATTTTCCAGAGGTTACAGTGAGCATTTTTGACTGATTAAAGGCTAGCATGAATCAGTAGATTTACTATCTCCAAGGAGTTTGGGAACGCTCTGATTCCACTGACCTCTCTTCCAAGCTGTGCCCTACACCAATCATGCATTTTTTTTTTCTGCCTGTATTTGAAACCCTGCTCGGTGTCAGCATTGTTGCCATCCCACATCATGGCTGCTTTCTCAGGTGTACCCACCTACTGGCTCTCTCATTGCTCTTCAAAGCCACATGAATCACTTCTCGAACCACTTTGCTCCTTTCAAACTGTTCTGTGTAGCATTTCCCTCATTCTGTAGGACACATGTTATCATTATTTTGATTTACTTAAAGCAGTATGATTTTCTTTTGGAGATAATGGATATCTTCACTGGATAAATACACTAAATTGGCAGTTATTTTCTTTCATAACTTTGAAGATACAGCTCCATTTCCTTTGGGTTCCATTGTAGTGGGTTAAGAAGTTTGTTTGCATCTTACTGTAATTCATTTCAAAGGTTTTTTTTGTCCCCTTGCAATTGGTCTTAATATAGTTTTTGGTCACTTTTGGTTTTCAGCAAAAACTGATACAAATATCTAGGTATAGATTTTCTTTGCTCCTGTCCTGTTGGGGTTAATGGTGTTCCTTGAGTCTTAGTAAATTTTAGTAGTGGAATTTTTTCATTTATTGATCTTTAAATGTTACTTTTTCCAAATTTTCTTTGTTGTTTTTGGTGCACCAATTATAACTATGTCAGTTTTTTCCCCTGTGTTTTTGTTTTAATCTCTCTTATGAGATTTTATGTTATTTTCACCCTTTAAAAAAAATCTCCATTCTCCAATCTACTATTTTCCACGGACTTTTACTTCTATTCTCTCTCATATTCTCTTCTCTTTTAATGCTCCATATCTATTGAGTATTTAATGTTAGTTATTTTCCAGTTTCAGAATTTCCATTTGATTTTTTAAAAATAAATTCCACTAAAGAATTCTCTAATTTCATCTGCTTCTTCAAATTGCTAATTATAGTCATTTAAAGCCTATCAGTTCCATAGCTCTTTACACATTAGTGTCTGTGTTCTGTTTATCTTCATGGTGTTATTAATGGAATACAATAGATTCAGCCCTGGCGAAAGCAAAGCCAAAAAGCAAAAACTGGAGATTTAAAAAAACAATAAAAAGTTTATTACTTGTAGCAAGTAAGGAGGGCAGGAGAATGACCCTAAATCAGAGTCTCTCTGAACAAAGAAAGCAAGGGAATTTTACTGGGAACACTTATGCACAGTCATACTGGGAAGATTTTTCATCCTATGTCGTGACTACCTTTCTGGGTGAGTGTCATTCAATATCCTGCTTTTTCCTTCATTGCATATTTAAAAATAGCAGACAAGTACATTTTTAGGGCAGAGAATTTAGCATGGTTACTAGTTTACAAGGAGTGAGAAAAAATATGGTGAGCATCTCAATTAAAATATGTTATTACAGCAAAAGACACTCTGCCATCCCTCTCAATGCATACTGATTTGCTTCAAAGCATACACTTATCTCATTCTTTTTCTACTTGCTGGAACACTTCTGGGAGTTTGCTTTTGTGAGTATCTTTCCACAGTATGATTAAAAGTACGATGAATACCATTGCAGAGTGTCATCCTGTGGGAAGGCAGGCTCATAAAACCATGACAGTGTTTCCTCATCCACTTTACTCACCAGACTTGGCACCCTGTGTTCTTTGACTCTTCCTTATAATCAAAATGACCAAGAAGATAAATGTTTTGGATGGGCTCAGAACATTGAGGCAGCCATGATAGTGTAACAAATGATACTCATAAAAGAAGCCTTCTTCTTTAGGAGGAGCTACTTCAGAAAGTGGCAAGATGATGGCATATGTGTGTTTGGAATGAAAGGAATTATTTTGAATGGGATTAATGCCGATGTGTTTTGCAGAGAGCTACATGAAAGCTTGAGATCCTTATAAAGAAATCACTTCTTCCGTGATTTCTGGACTCTTACTTAACCTCTTGAGCCAGTACCTTTCCCTTGTAGGTATCTTAGTCATTTCTGGCTTCCTTATTCCACCTTTCCACGGTGACTTGCAAATCTGCAAATCAACAGCACTTGGAATAAAAAAGTACAGCTGAAAATCAGATTCACCTTTCTGTACTTTCCTTCTCCTGGAGGTTTTATTTCTTAAATTCTTACTTCTGAGCAGTTTTCTAAAGCCTTTGAACTGACAGATTTTTTTTCTTCTTTAATATTTTTAGTTGTTCTTGGCAGGAGAGTTTGCCTGCACAAATCTTTTCTACAATTACTAAAATTATTTGAAATCTCTCTGGCATGAGTTATTTTGAAGTATACAAAACTTTTACTCATGTGACAGAAAGAACCCACATCTGCTGAAACTGAAGACTTTCTTGATGTAAGTCCTTCCCTTCAAACAAACAAACAAACAAAAATCACAGTCAAAAGCACTTGTAACATTTTGTTTGGTGTAAGAAATGTGAGTCCTAACTGAAAACTACAAAGAATTGTCCTAAAATACTAGTATTGTAGCATTGGCAAGGAGACTCATGAGCACCTGAAATTACAAAAGTTGTAATTCTATTTAAAGGAGAGAGACCCAAAGACTAATATTAATTTGGTGCATCCGTAATTTCTTTAAAAAATTTTTATTAGTCCATGTTTGTGGTACATAACGATTATATTCATTGTGGGAGTCGGAGCATGTACTTAACACAACGTGACTGTTTTTACATCCTCTTTTCCTTCCTTCCTCTACCCTCCCTCCAGCTCTTGTAATTGCTATTTTTGGGGGGTGGGGAGGGGTGGGTTCCAGGGATCAAACTCTGATCCTTGTGCTTGCAAGTCAGGCAGAGGTGGAACCACTGAGTTAAATCCCCAGCCCCCTTGGCATTTCTTTTTAAAGGGCCAGATTGAGCCTGTAGTAGATACATCCAAAGAATTTTTAAATGGGGTTGCATCTAAAATGCTGCCATTTAATAAATGAGAATTTACAAAGAACAAGTTCCCAGGCAATATTAAGTAACTTACAAAAGAATGATAACATCTATAAATATTAATTTACAGTGTTGCCATGAAATGATAAGCAAGTAAGAGAAGTTTGAGGAACTTGTTTTCCTTTCAATATTTGTATCTTTATGACTGTGTGTAGAGCCTTTTTTTTAGAGGTCATGATGAATGCTAAAAGTGGAGCTGTGGACAAATGAACCCCGCTCCTCTGCTATTTTAATGAACTCTGGTGTTAAGTCTCCTCTTAATTCTAATTAAGTGAGACGATTATAGTGTCGTATTTGAGCCAGTGTTATATATGAATAAAAATCCAGCTGGGCTTGGTAGTGCACACCATAATTGCTGGGAGGCTGAGGCTGAGGCAGAAGATTGAAAGTTCTAGCTCAGGTTGGGCAATTGAGTGATTTAGAGAAACCCTATTTCAAAATAAAAACAAAAAGTGTGTGTATGGGGGAGGCTGGGGACGTAGCTCAGTGCAAAGATGATGGGTTCAATTTCAAGTACTATAAAAACGAAAGTTAGCACAAGTGCTAACCACCAAAATAATTAAAAAAGAAACTCTGGGTCACCAGTGCACTACAGAATAACTATGTAAATAACACACAAATACACAACTTATCTCCCATTCAAAAAATAATATCACTACCCCCGCATTTTCTGCAATGTTTAGTTCAAATAAAATATTTGACTCCGCATAATGGCAAACACTTTATGAATATGTCTTAACAATCTTCCTAGCTGTCATTTTGCAACCTAGTCTTCAAGAGCTTGGTTGTTCAGAGCTAGTGCTCTGTAGTGGTTTTGAGGTTTTACAATTCGTTGACACTTGGAGGAACTTAGAGCTTGTCAGCTTCCTTCTGTTTGCTGAGCTCTCCAGCTCTTTGGTGAACTCACACGGAAAATCCTGGTGTCATAGAAGACCTGAGGTTTGAAAGAATCCATTTTGGAAGTCAGACTGGTAACGCATCTTTGCACCTCACCCGGAGGAAGCCAGCTCTTCAAGGTAAGCACAGTGATCGAGCAGGTAAATGACTCTGACTCAGAGGCAGGCACACTGATTTCGTCCGTCAGCTCCAGTTTCAGCATCTTGAGATGCCCTTGCTATAAAACTCACACTTATTTACTATGATCACAGCTCTTCCACCATAAAATAGAATTGTTCTTCTCTTCTTCCTGAAGGTATACTTGGAAATGTCTGGAGAAGCATATTGAAAATAGCATAGGAAATAATGGTTATTATAATTCTTTGCACGCCAATTTTAAAGTACTACATGATGGGAAGAATCTGAAAAATGCCTTTTAATGTGCATATAAAAATTAAGAACAATTACAGGATCCCAATGATGAATGTAACTGTGCTGTATACCTAAAATATACCAATAATCTCAAAATAATTAAGAACAATTTTTGTTCAAACAGTTTTACTTTAAGTAAAACTTCTCCTATGCTAATATCTCTTATTTGTAGGAATCAGTATGCTCAAAATATGTGGGATAGAAGAATAATTTTTAACATTGTAGTAGGTTTAAGTTTTGTGCATAGTCTATCCTGTATGTTTGAAACTATTACTAGTAAGGCTAGGCCTACATCAGTTTTGAAAGCAGCAAATATGAGGAGAATGACAGGTGTAGAAAGGGAGAGTGTAGGGCAGGGGATTTAGCTCAGCGGTTCGGTGGCCTGCCTTGCAAGCGCAAGGACCCGAGTCCCGGTACCAAAACAAAACAAAAACAAGAGCAAACAAACAAGAAAGGGAGCGTGTGAAGCAGGAGCTAAGTACAATTAGAGTCCCTCTTATAAATGTTGAGAGTATGATTCCTTCTGGACATAGTAAGGATGCTATTATATGGGATCGGTAAATTATTATACCTAAAAAAGATGCAGTGAAGGCAATAGTTATATAAATGGAAGACGTTTTGGTAATTATGTGATTAATTATAATTTAACGAGTTGAAATAATTTGTTTCATTGAATAAACAAATTACCATATTCAGTTCATTCTAATCCTTCTTGTAGTCATTCATAAGTTAGGCCTCGTGCTAAAATAAAGTTTAATATTTCATATTGAGGATACTATGATTATTAGGATAAGGTCATTGATTTGTGATGCTCACGGCAGAGGAGCAAGTAAAGCAATTTCTATCATAGTGCAACATTTTAAAAAGTCAGGACGACACAACATGAATTTAAGAACATTACTTTACAGAACGATTTTTGATAAGACACTGAATTCACTGAGCTCCAGCTTCCTACACAACTGTGTAGTTACTTATCTGAGCAATTATTTATTAAGAAACTCTGTTCTATAACTCTGTGTGTTCACTGTTGTGCTTAAACCAGCCAATCAATTTGTCCATATGTTAATCAGTAGTCAACAGGAGGAATGGGAAGATCCATGAAAGAGGAGTCAGGTGATGTGAATGCAAGTTCTCATCCAGTAATTGGATGCATAATCTGGACACTATTAGCTAGCTGCCTTAGGGTGAAAGTTTGGGTAGTTGCTCTCAAGGGATGGGTAGCAAGTATTTCAGGCATTTCAGGGTAAGGAGTAAAACTGAAGATGAAACATAGATGTTTACATTACCATTTAAAATGCAACCATTTAAAAAATATAAGACCTGTTCATAGTTCACAGCCTGAACCAAAATAAGAAGTGAACCAGGGTTAGTTTAGGGGCCATTATTTTCCAACAGTTCTTGTATGAAATGATTTCAATCACTACAAAATTTAAGATAGAATAGGTCAGAGCTGCTCAACATGAGCAGTCTCATTTGAGTATATGTAAATGTGTGTGTGTGTGTGTGTGTGTGTGTGTGTGTGTTTTAAATGGGTGAAAATATACACCAATTTCATCAGATTTTTAAGGTGGTCCCAAATATAATTGTGGTGAAATACACTTGGCTAGGTGTTTTCTAAAATGTACCTATGAGATCTTTGTTGACGTCTGCTATGTAAATCCTTTGTGCTAGCGCTACAAGAAATATGCATGTTATAATTAAAAAGTATCAAAATTTAAACAACATTATAATATGTGATGACTTTCAAGTAACCTTGAGGAAAAACTTCATTGATCAAATCTTCCAAAATACTATCTTGCAAATTATTTTCAAAGTGAATTCATATATTATACCACCTTATTTGCCAGATTTTCTTATCATCCCACCTTATTTTGGAAGTCAGTGGTATTTTTCATGACAATCAAAATCCAGCAGTGTAAAAAACAGAGTCTCATATGAATGTGATTTGCTTAAGGGCAGTAAGTACCCAACATCTTTGAAATAGATATGTGAATGAATGAGAAGATAAAGCCATCAACACTGAGATTATATGTCATAGATACTGAAAGCTTAGAACAGCAAATGTTCCAAAAATTGTAATTGCTAAGTCCAAAGATTGCTTCTCTTTTCAAAGGTGAATGTAACTGGGATTTCAAAATACTTGGTTAACTGAAGATTGCAGGTCTTGGTGATTTTTGTTGAATTTGACTCATATGTGAGAGGTGTATTACAAAGTTGCTGGCAACATCTCTCCTCTTTCAAGGAGTAATCTTATTACAAAATAAAAGCAAAATCTATAGTAGCTAGCTTACAGCTCTTTCACTTCTTAGGGGGAATTTAAACATTGATATTTGAAAACTTTAGGAAAAATTAACAGAAATCCTACATGATTCTGCTTGTGTCTGACGTTGTGCCTGCAACTACCTTACTCAAAGAGTTCAGGTCACCTCCCCAGTCCCTACCCTCTTCACCAGCTCCAGACTCAGAAGCTGTTCAATAGCAGAGCATTTCCCCAATACTTTGGGATGTGATGGTCCCAAGTCTGTGGAGTGTCCTCTGTATTAAATAGCACCCTATTTAATACACAGGGTTAATGGTTATATTGAGGACACAGTCCTGAGTCTCCTTCAGAAGGAGATTATTTTCAGATAGAATTCAAAGACCAAAACTTTCCTTAATGAGACCTCAAGGACATAACTGATATATAATTCATTTAGGTGCTGACAGGAAGCTGAGGATTTCAGAAACTCCACAAGCCATGTCTGTAGGTTCCATAGATCCAGGATGGGTAGCTGTTGTCCCTCTCACTATGACTCCTGTCGAGTGCTGTCTCCTTCCTGATGACTTCTGCACCTTGCTGCTATACTTTACTCCACATAGTGGCCAGTGCCCCTTCTGTTCCCTCTTATACACAACTAACCAAACTCTGTGACAATTTTATTTTCCTACAAATTTCTTAAAGGACCTTATTGTAAATCTTTCAGGTTTTGGCAGCCACACAATCTTTGACGCAACTAGTCAGATTCACAGTTGTGGTGAGAAAAGAGACACTGACAATCCATACATTAATAGGTATTGCTAGGATTGGATAAAACACTACTTATTAAATTAAGTGCCCCCCCACCCCCATGGGCTCCAGCTTGCTGGACCTTATAGTATGTCCAGGACTTGAAGACAATTGAAAAAAAAATCAGACAGAACATAAAACTCAAAGTTAGAGAAAGCTTTTAAAGGTATCAGTACTGCTTCTTCTTGGAGGGTCCAGCTTCCATTTTAGCCCTGGCTTGAGGCCACGCTACTGAAACTTACTCAGATTCCTGGCCAGGAGTCTTTTCTCCTGGCCTTCACTTCCAAGATTTCAGGTTTTACCCCACCACCCTATAATGTGAAGTCCCAGCTAGAGGATGGCAAATACAAACTCAGGTTACTGTCACCTCTGGCATGAAGGTCCGTTATATAAAAAGATGGTCTCCCTAGGTCTGAAGGAGGTCCAATATTACAAATGGCTCTCATCATCCATTCCACCACTAAAATGCTCACAAATAACAAAATTCTTTTTTGTCCCCCCTTTTATTGTTTTTTTTTTTTGTGTGTGTGTGTGTGTGTGTGGTAAAATATGAGGTGTGATTAAAAATATAGTGCATGTTTAAATTAATTACAATAAAAGACCCATTGCTATGAATCTCCCTCAAAATACTCCCTTTTACTTCAGATGTACTTATATCATTGTGGGTACCACTTTCCGAAGCAGTTCTGGAAGTGCTCTTTCATGAGTGTCTTTATGAGGTATGATCAAAATACAGTGAATAGTGCCGCCAAGTGCCATCCAATGGAGAGACAGGCTCACATAAGCATTGCGCTGGGTCCTCATCCACCTTATTCACTGGATCTGGTGCTGTGCGACTCTGGCTCTTTCTCAAAGTCAAAATCACCATCAAAGGTACACATCCTGATTGGCTCAGGACACTGAGGCAGCCACAACAGTGAAACTAACAATACTAAAATAAAAATTAAAAACAAAAATAAAGGACTTCCAGAACCACTTCAGAAAGAGGCAAGTATGATAGGATAAGTGTGGTCAAAGTGAGGGGGAAGATTTTTGAGCGGCTTTAATGGTAATGTGTCCTTCACTGTAATATGTCTTTAAGAGTTAAACATTCAGCATGTATTTTGGTCATATATTGTACATAAAATTTACTATTTCAGACATTTTTGTATATAGTTCAGTAGCTTAAGTACATTCATTCTGTTTTGGAACCACCATCATCACCCATTTCCAGAGTGTTTTATCATCTCTTTTTATCATAATGAAACTTAATGTATTAAGCAATCACTTCTGTGTTCTCATATTCCTCAGGTCTCTGGAATTCTTTATTCCATTTTTAGTCCCTGTGAACTTGACTACCTCAGGTCCTCTGTATAAGTGAGTTCTTGTAATATCTCTGCTTTTGTATAAAGACAAATTCTTGCTTGTCTGCTTGGAATCACATGAAAAAAAATTACCCATATTTCCTGTCTTCCAGCCACGTCTGGTTTGGAAGAATTGGCATCTAGTCTGAGAACACCCCACTGGATACTTTTCGTGTATTATCTCCCAATATTCTCCAACCTGCTGCCCTGCAGGCAGACATTGTTAATTCTCTCCTTCGTAGTGTCATTATGGATGCCTACAGTGTAATCAACCTCATTTTCCTTTGTGGGGCTGCAAGTTACCAGACCCAACACGAAG